CTTTTTTGGTTAGGATCAAAGATGGCTGTGTGAAATCCTGTTCTCTCTCCTTTTCAGATCTGGTCTGTTTTGTACACTCTTTACAACTGATATTACACGGAGCTTATTTTCTCAATTTATTTTTATGCAAATGGCTTTCTAAACTGATGTGTCAGTCCTGCTCTCCTGGTAGTTCCTCTTTTGAATGATTAAATCACCATTGAATGTATTTTTTTTTTTCACAAACCATGTTCACAATTCTGTCTTCTAAATCCTCTTCCTTATTCCATTACCTAATTTGAAAGTAACCAGTCTCCATTATCTCCTAGGTTACTATGGCAGCTGGATAGTCCTTTGTTATAACCATGATTCTACATTCTCTACAGTTTATCTCTCTGTTCTCTCTTTCATATTTTCATTTATGATATTAAGTAGATTTGATATTATCATGTATCCTTATTTCAATCCATTATATGCTCAACTGCCAACAAGTGCTTCTTATCAAATTCTAGTGAAATAACTTGGAAGAGCACAATGATGGTACACGGTAAGTGTGCCAAAGAAAAAAAAATAGCAGGCCTTTTGTCTCTTCTTCCTCCACCTCCTAGTGACCATAAAAACGGAAAAAAGTCTAAACTCACGCTGGCATCCAGGGCCATAAAATAAACTCTGGATGTTAGAGATCTAGGCTGGCTCTGCTGCAGGAAACCATCCAGGGACCTCAGTTCCATCCTTTGACTTCACACCTTCTGACCTCAAACAATCCTCCTGCCTCAGCTTCCCAAAGTGCTGGGATTACAGGCGTGAGCCGCCCTGCCCGGCCTGCACTCTTTTTTTCATACTAAGTGTTGGAAATTCCTGTGTGTATTTTATATTTGCAACACATCTCAATGAGGACTTGTCTTCAATAGCCACCTGTTTGGCTAGTGGCTACCATACTGGACAGCACAGAACAGGCCAGGAATGGTGGCCACTGTTGCAGAGACAGTGACCTTAAAGCATTGTTCTCACGTATACAGTGTAGCCTAGTCAAGTGTCAGAAACTTCCAGCCTATAAGGGAAAAGAGAGAGAAACATACGAAGTCCAGGGCAAGCAATTTAATTTAAAACACTGAGAAGAAATTTGCACACGACAGTTGCATTTGCGTACTACGACAAGAAGTCGTTCATGTTCCCGTATCTGACGGTAAGCAAGGTTGGGAAATAAAGCTTGTAAATGGGTGTTTGTAGGAAAAATAGATTTTTTAGAGGAAAATTAGCTGTTGTTTTAATCATTTCTATTTTTCATATTTATTTTATTTTATCTTAGGCGTCAGTCAGCCTTAGTTATGTGCCTTTGCTCAAACTGGTTAGCCCATTTGGATGTCTTCTCTGACATCCAAACTCCATTTGCCCAAACACTTGTGCTCAAAAATTGCTTTCCTTATAGAGAAGATGCTGATCCTATCAGACAATAGGAACCTACTGAGCTCTCATAGCTCTTTATCTATACTCCTCTCCTCGCTAATAACTCTGCGTTTTAGTAGTTATTTATGTGCATGTCTTATCTCTCCTACAAACTTTTTGTCCACAGAGAACAGGATCTGTGTCCTATTCATAGTTTTCTCCTACTTCACTGTGAAGAATGAGAAGAATGCTTTGAGCATCATTTCTTCTCAGTACTCATTCAGTGAATTCGTGAGTAAATTGATTATTATTTTTTGAGATTTAGGTCCAATCAAGTAAAAAATTAATAGGCAAGATTCATAATGGATATATGCAGAATACATGAAGGTCTTACCACAGATTAGGAATTATTCCATAGATAAATTAACTCTGGATTTCAATTCAAATTATATTTTTTATGATTTGTATTAATGTTGCAAAAAATGTCAATGTAAATTGAAATTTGGGGGTAAATTGAAAACTAAGGGAGAATTAATACACATTTTGCAAATAATTACATAAAAATAGTACATTTTTTACTAGAATGGATTATTAAAAACTTGATTAATTATACATCAATTGCTTCATTTCTTTATTTGACAAACACTTGAGTTTTTAGTGATTCAACAGGCATTTTAAAAAAAATTTATTTTGACACATCTTAATTGTACTTATTTATGAGTGTAATTTAATGTTTTCATACAGATCTATGTTGTGTAGTGAGTCAGGGTAGTTAGTGCATACATGACCTCATACAGTTATCATTTTTTTGTGGTGAGAACATTCAAAAGCCCCTTTTCTAGCTGTTTTGTAATATACAACATCTTACTGCTAATCTCAGTCATATCACTGTTCAATAAAACACCAGAATTTGTTCTTCCTAATTGTAAGTCCGCACTTGTTGACCAACCTTTCTCCATTTTTCCCTTCCCTCTCCCCTATCTGACAACCACTATTCTATTCTGTGTTTCTGTGATATCTACTTTTTTTTTTTTTAGATTCCACATATGAGTGAGATTATGTGGTATTTGCCTTTCTGTGTCTGGCTTGTTTTACTATTTTGCTTAACATGGTGTCCTACAGGTTCATCCATGTTATTGCAAATGACAGTATTTCACTCCTTTTCATGGCTGAATAGTAAGTCCATTGTGTATACAGTATGTTTTTTTTTTATCCATTCATCTGTTGGTGGACAGCTAGGTTGATTCCATGTTTTGGCTCTTACAAATAATACTGAATGAACCATGGGAGTGTGGTTTTCTCTTTGGCATATCAATTTCGTTTACTTTGTATGTGTAGCTACTACTAAGATTGCTGGATCATATGATAGTTCAATTTTTAGTTTTGTGTGGAACTTCCATACTGTTTTCCATAATGGTTGTGCTAGTTTACTATCCCAACAACAGCATAAACAGTTTGTTAGTGTTTCCTTTCCACACATCCTCACCTGCACTTGTTTTCTTTTTTCATAATAGCCCTTCTAAATGGAAGGAAGCCATATCTCGTTGTGGCTTTGATTTGCATTTTCCTGAGGATTAGTAATGGGCATTTTTGAATGTACCTGTTAGTCATTTGTATGTCTTCTTTTGGAAAATGTCCATTAAGATCTTTCTGCAACAGGCATTCTTGAGACTTCAGATATAGCATGAAGAAGCCAGACATCATTTTTGTACTCCCTTTTGTAATATTACAATATAATTCAATATAATGTGATGGAGAAGAAGAGCATTGAAAAAATATATATATATGTATGTAAAATTACCCAACTGTTGTAAATGTTATCAAAACTGGTCACCTATAGCAGGTTCCTAGTCCATAGCTCAGTATTCAAAATTAACATCTGCATCCAAAGAATAATTATGGAGAAAATTAACAACTGCATCCAAAGAATAATTACGGTTTAGAAAACAATTTTTAGAATGGAAATATGACAAAATGAATTACTGAGCAATTAAAACACCAAAGTTTTGAAAGAGTTCATTTAGATGTTTTAGAGAATTTGCTCCTTGGTCTCCCTTCACTTTTAATCCCCGATGTATTTGTTTTATTACAATGTAACCAGTAAGTATTATGTCACCTAGCTGTATGAAAAGCATCAGAAAATTGCTGTGTATTCTAGGTTATTAAGAAGATCTTAGGGTTACACATTTTATACGTCTATTTTTGGTACTAGGCTCTATAAAAGATGAGAACCCTTATTTAGAGAGGGAAGCGAGGACTAAGCATTCACGAACTAGAGACAGGTTAACCACATTTTAAAAGAATATCACAGGTACATAGTGAAAAAGGAGAAGGTAAATATCATCTTGAACATCGGTACCACTCAACCATATTCCAGAGAATATGCATTGGTATTGGCAACCAGGAAAGTTGTATTGGTATTGACAACAAAATAAAGGAATAAGAAGCAATGATAGAGTTAAGATAGTGGAGGAGGCCGGGCGTGGTGGCTCACGCCTGTAATCCTAGCACTTTGGGAGGCCAAGGTGGGACGATCACGAGGTCAGGAGATCGAGACCATCCTGGCTAACATGGTGAAACCCCATCTCTACTAAAAATGCAAAAAATTAGCCGGGCGTGGTGGCAGGCGCCTGTAGTTCCTGCTACTCGGGAGGCTGAGGCATGAGAATGGTGTGAAACTGGGAGGCAGAGCTTGCAGTGAGCCGAGATCGCTCCACTGTGCTCCAGCCTGGGTGACAGAGCAAGACCCCATCTTAAATAATAATAATAATAATAAATTAAAAAATAATATAAAAAAATAAAAAAAGTGTCTTTTAGCTGGATACAGTGGCTCAAGCCTGTAATTCTAGCACTTCTGGAGGCAGGAGGAGGATCACTTAAAGTCAGGAGTTTGAGACCAGTCTGGGCAACAGAGTCAGATCCCTTCTCTACAAAATAATATTTAAAATAAATGATCCAGGCGTGGTGACAAGCGTCTGCAGTCCCAGCTGCTTGGGAGGCTGAGGCAGAAGGATTGCTTGAGTCCAGGAGTTTGGAAGCGGCAGTGATCTATGATCACGACACTGCACTTCAACTACAGACTGGGTGACACAGTGAGACACTGTCCCCCAAGAAAAAATACAAATAAAAAATCAAAAAAATCCAAAGGATTATCTTTTATATTTAAAATTTTATGCTGGATTCACAAACTATTTCAGTTCTTTGTGTAGTATTTAATAAAAACCTTCCTAGAAAGCTACTTATTAGAGTGGGCTTATCAACATCCTAAAAGATACAGATTGAGATACAAATCTTCATGATAAAACTGATGAGTGGCATTTCTCTGGCTAGGTTCTTTGGTTTGTGCTTTGGTGTTGTACACATAAGACAGAATTTAGTTCTGTGAGGGAGCCTTAATTTCATCAGTGTGAACCTTAATTTCTTTCTTTCTCTCTCTTTCTTTTCCTTCCTTCCTTCCTTCCTTCCTTCCTTCCTTCCTTCCTTCCTTCCTTCCTTCCTTCCTTCCTTCCTTCCTTCCTTCCTTCTTATTTTTAGAAAAGGGGGTCTCACTCTGTCACCCAGTCTGGAATGCAGTGACATGATCAGAGCTCACTGTAGCCTCACACTCCTAGCTTAAGGGATCCCTCTAAAAGTAAGGGATACTTTTTAATGTACATTATGTAATTAAAAACATTCCTAGATGCTTCAGAAAAAGTTCCTCAGCCTCCTGAGTAGCAGAGGCTACAGGCCCAGCTATTTTGTCTGCTTTTTAAACCTTTTAAATGGACATTTTAAGTCAATTGCAAATTAATATAGCATTAATTCTATGTATCCATAACTCCAGTAATTATGAAGCCTCTCATCTTATTTCTTCTCTTTCACTGTTTTGTTAGATAATTTTACTGGAAATCTTGCACATGTTGTTTCATGTATAAATACTTATATAATGTACGTCCAACTAATACAGACAATTGAATGGTGTATTAGTTTGCTAGGGCTGCCATCAAAAGGTGCTATAAACAAGATGGCTTAACAGCAGAAAAGTATTGCCTCACAGTACTGGAGTTTACAAATCTGAAATTAAGGTTTCAGCAAGGCCATGCACTTTTGAAAGTTCTGGGGAAAGAGCTGTTCCTTGGCTTGTAGATAGCTGTCTTCTGTTGCCTCTCCACATCATATTACTTTTACTTGTGTCAATCTTTGTATCCAGATCTTTCCCTTCATGACATCAGTCCTACTGGATAAAGGCCTACTCTAATGACCTAATTTTAACTTGAGGTTAATTGACCTCATTTAACTTTATCTCTGTAAAGACTTTCTATCTAAATAAGGCCACATTCTGAGGTATTAGGAGTTAGGACTCAAATATATCATTTTGGGCTGACACTATTCAACTCATAATAAACTTTATCTAACACCATTATTTACAAAATCCTTAACACTAACACCAGTTCTTATTCAAGTTTCCTTGATTTGTTCTAAAATATCTTAGTAGGTATCTGAAATATTGGAGCTAAGGAGTATCTGCTCGTTATATTTCTTTGTGATGTCTTTTTCATTCTGTAAAGGACCCTATCCCATCCTCTTTTTTAGAAATGCCATTGAGTTGTCAAGAAACTGATTTACTTGTCCTATAGAATGTTCTGCATTTTGAATTTGACTGAATCATTTCTTATGAAGTCATGTAACTAATTCTGCTATCATCTCTTACCTGTAAACTGGTAGTAATATTCAGAGGTTTAATCATATTTAAGTTCAGATTTTTTAATGTTATACCATATCATGAAGCATGTAATATCTGACCATTCCATTTCCAGTGAGGATAAAATTCATCAGTGGTTTCAGGGATGGTTACCCTTATTTTTGCATTATAAAATATACATTAATATTTAATCTAACAAAATTCACTGATGATCATTACCTAGATCTATTATGATTTCATTGGGGTTGCAAAATAGTAATTTTTATTACCCTTTTTGTATTTTTAGCTATAATCTTTAATAGAGAAGAACTCTCCCAAATTATTCAGAAAAAGCAGGGTGAATGTTTGATATATTTTCTTTTTCTAACCAACCTTGAATATAAGTTGCTTCTAACTAACTACAGTTGTAATGAATTGGTTCTATTAACTTTCGTTAGTCTCCTTGTGAATATACAGATTTTAAAATATCTGATGTGTTTTGATCAGTTGTAATCATGATTATTTTTAGTACTAAAATTGTTGCATTCTGGACCCATTGGAACCCCTTCTGCTTGGTTCTGGCAACTTCCAAGCCTGTCAGCACATGCCCCAGGTTCATCTTTTATGTATCCTCCCAAGAGTCCAAAAGTCAGCTATTTCTCTGGGAAGCACTGGATCCTTTAAGTGAGAATTAGTATTTGGATACCACAAACTTGGTGCTAGTTGTTAAATTTTGAATTCTAATGAAATTTCCTTTCAGATTTTCTGGCTCAGCTATCTAAATCAGTATATATTTTTCATGACCAGTTTTTTTTTAATATTCCTTTGTAGTCTTGATTTTCTTATTACGAATGAATAGAGAAGACCCCTGGTTACAACTGTAATAATATACAAAATAGCCTAAATAGGGAAAGAATTCCTGTTACTGGTTGAGGCCTCTAAATGGTCAATTGTTCAGTCACAGGATTAATTTACTTTTTGAAAGACTTTTAAAATATCCAAGGAGTTCAGTCAACAGGAGCAGATGAGGAAATGTGTTCAACATAGTTTTGACTTAATTGAAGGGGTACGAGCCACACAGATTTATGTGTGGGGGTTATACATGTCTTCAAGTATATTTTATCATACTGTTTTGTGAAAATATGCAAATGATTTTTCAGGGGAAGTAGACGTGCAGATTTTTTTAAAATTGCTTTAAAAACTTAGTGTTGGTGTATTTTCTAACAATGTCTACTACTAAATTTCATATTTTCTTTCATCTTCAAATTAAATATAGACACATATATCCCTGTGGTTATCTGAACAAAGATAAATGCCTGGACACAAAATGAGAGAATGCACAATTGTAGTAAAATAAATTAGATCTGTTTGAAAATGAAAACATGTTTGTAAATTCTCACGCAGAGTTTCAGTGCCTATGAACTGCCCCTTCTCGGGAGACAGAGCCTGGATGTCATGATTTAGTAAGTATAAAAACTCATCAAAAGATAAGTGCTGTTTCTGTTGTGCCTCTTATTCCTCTTATTATCTTTGGAATAGCCAATCTTTGCTCATCTCTATTGCTGGAAGCTATAGGTGTATAAGCTGGTAGTGGTAGGAAGCTATAGGACAACTGCACTGTTCAGATTCTAGCAATGCACATAAAAATAAATTAATTGCCTATTTACAATTTATAAAATACTTTCTTGGTCTAGAAGAATAGGGAATAACAGTGTTTATGTATATTGTGACTATTGGTAGAAGGGCATTAACCTGGTTAAATTTTAATTCTATATAAGTAGGGGAAGAAATAACTATATTTGCATATTGAAACAGACATATAAACTAGTTTTCAATGATTTTCCAATGTTAACAAATATACATGCAAAATCCACAATAAAGGATAAAGCTCACCTTTATAGCAAATCTTGGAGTATTGATATCTCCAATATGCTAGAATTTGCTAGAGATTTAAGATATCTCAGTCTAACAAAGACCAGTCAGTGGGAAGACAGCCAGGTACATTTTATGCAACTTGGTTCCATTATATTATATTATGGACTAATTCCAGCTGAAATAATTATGAAGAAATATGCCTAAAATTGAACACACACCTTTGGTTTCAAATAGGGACTCAGATTAGCTGATTAGCTATCCTGGAGTGATATGAACATATTGGCATATAATACAAGGAAAATAAATACTGAAGAATAAAAAAGTGCCAGAATAGCTAAGCATTAAGATATTGAGTGACTACTTCCCTGCTACATGACTTATAAACTGTAGTTTCATAAATTATAAGTGGTGATGTCAGAGCAATAAATAAGGAAACTGCTTTTTAAAAAAGTTTTCTGACTAAAATACGTAATAATACACAGGGTATATATATATGCCAAAAATTGCTATGTCAAAATCCTTCCCATTAGAACTGTATGCTTTTCCTTTTCAATTCAAGAGTTGAAATATTTTTTCCTAATATTTTTATTTTGTGAAGCATTGGGTCCCCTTTATTTCATATACATTGCTAATGTAGAAATACTTGTTCCAGTGCACTTGATAACAATTTAAGTAATGCCATTATTTTTTTCCAGACTTAAGAGTGTGTTAGAAACATAACCTTTGTTGGTGAATTCCTGAAGGAAAGTTTTCTTGTGTTCACTCAAAGTGCCATTTCTCTTGTACCTATAATGATGGGAAAGACATTGTGAGCCCATGTATATACTAACAGTAGGTTAGGATGAGGATGCCTTCACAATAATAGCACAGTCTAACAGCAAACATCAAGGTCTTCTATGCCTGCTTGTTCCAGTAACAGCTTCATGAAAAAAAAAGAAAGTATCCTTTGCTCAGCATTTTGTTGTAGGAATATTAGTTCAGTGAACAAGTTGCAACACATATAATTAGAGTTGATAAGAGAGGGTAACTGCCTCGGAATAGTCTACGGAAATGAAAAGAATTATATTACAGCAAAGAAAGGTACATGAGGAAGATTCTGGTATCTGTATATTGATAAGAAAGTCGGAGATTTATAACCAACATGCCAGGTTTCCTGTCCAGTAGACCTATTTTCATCTCTGCTCCTTCTACTGTTTGCTTTCTGCCTCCCATGTGGAGCCTGTTAGATGATTACTTAACTTTCAGAAAAAGTGCCCAAAATAGAATATTATACCTAATCCTTACTTAAAGGAATATTTATCAGAAAGTAACATACAAAGTGAATTATTGTGAATTACATTGTATTTTTCCATTGACTTATGTTAACAGTTCAGACACAGTATTTGTGATTTATTTTTAAATTTCACTAGCCTCTGGTAGTGCAAATTTTATTACCTCCCAAATTTGTGTACGTCAGAAGTTACTGATTGGGTAACAGAAATTTCTTAGATTATAGATAATCACAATTTAAAGGAAATGTTCTGATAAAGTAGTTATAAAGGGAAAAGTACCCCAACAACACTAGTCATTACACACTAATATGTTTATTTTAAATTTTAATATTATGTTGCTTTAACTAGAGCATAGTCTATTCATGTAATGTTCAATTTTCAAACCCTTTATTAAATTGGCATACAAGCAGATTCAGTAAATTATCCAGGATCTTTCACCAAACCAATCAGTGGTAATGTATAACTACTCTATTAATTGAATTTGTGTATTAAAAGACTCAATATTGGCCAGGTGTGGTGGCTTACTCCTGTAATCCCAAAACTTTAGAAAGTTGAGGTGGTCAGATCACTGGAGGTCAGGAGTTCGAGACCAGCCTGGCCAATATGGTGAGACCCCTTCTCTACTAAAAAATACAAAAATTAACTGGGCGTGGTGGTACATGCTTGTAATCTCAGTTACTCAGGAGAATGAGGCAGGAGAATTGACTGAGCCAGAGAGATGGTGGTTGCAGTGAGCAGAGATTGGGCCACTGCCTTCCAGCCTGGGCGAGACAGTGAATCTGTCTCAAAAATTTTAAAAAAGACTCAATATTGAAAATCCTAAGAGTAGTTAAATCTCGTTCTCAATGAACATTTTTAATGGTTTCTAAATTTATGAACATAAATGACCTGTGGAAAAAATAACTGACGTGAACTTAAATCCTTTTTCGGGGGTCTCCAAACCGCAGGGTATGGGAAGAACGCGCTCCCGATGTTTAACGTGGGTTCTTTTCTATTTCCTAAGTGTCTCGGCTGGGTTGAGAAATAAAGGGAAAGAGCACGAGAGAGAAATTTAAAGCTGGGTGTCGGGTGGGGAGACATCACATGTCAGCAGGATCCGTGATGTTCCCTGAACCATAAAACCAGCAAGTTTTTATTACCAATTTTCAAAAGTGGAGGGAGTGCACGAATAGGGTGTGGGTCACAGAGATCACATACTTCACAAGGTAATAAAATATCACAAAGCAAATGGAGGCAGGGCGAGATCACAGGACCATCGGATGAGGCGAAATTAAAATTGCTAATGAAGTTTCCGGCATGCATTGTCATTGATAACATCTTATCAGGAAACAGGGTTTGAGAGCAGACAATCTGTCTGACCACAATTTATTAGGTGGGAATTTTCCTTGTCCTAATAAGCCTGGGAGCGCTACAGGAGACCGGGGCTTATTTCATCCCTTCGGCTTGGACCATAAAAGACAGCACGCTTTGAGAGGGTCTTTAATAGGCCTACCCTCAGGGCGCATTCTCTTTCTCAGGAATGTTCCTTGCTGAGAAAAAGAATTCAGCGATATTTCTCCTATTTGCTTTTGGAAGGGGAGAAATATAGCTTTGTTCTGTCCTGCTCACCGGCGGCCAGTTCAAAGTTACCTCTCTTGTTCCCTGAACATCACTGTTATCCTGTTCTTTTTTTTAAGATGCCCAGATTTCATATTGTTCAAACACACATGCACTACAAACAATTTGTGAGTTGATACAATCACATGGTCCTGAGGCAACATTCATCCTCAGTTTACAAAGAAGATGACGGGATTAAGAGATTAAAGTAAAGACAGGCATAGGAACTCACAAGGATATTCGCTGGGGAAGTGATAAGTGTCCATGAAATCTTCACAATTTATGTTCAGAGATTACAGTAAAGACAGGCATAAGAAATTATAAAAGTATTAATTTTGGAAACTAATAAATGTCCATGAAATCCTCACAATTTATGTTCTTCTGCTGTGGCTTCAGCTGGTCCCTCCGTTCGGGGTCCCTGACTTCCCACAACAGCAGGGTCATGGACTGGCACCAGTTCATGGCCTGTTAGGAACTGGGCCCCACACAGCAGGAGGTGAGCAGCGTGTGAGTGAGCATTACCACCTGAGCTCCACCTGCTGGCAGATCAGCACAAACCCTATTTAAGCTGCACGTGCATGAGAGGGATCTAATTTGCCTGCTCCTTATGAGAATCTAATGCCTGAAGATCTGAGGTGGAACAGTTTCATCCCCAAACCATCCCCCTGCCAACACCAGTCCATGGAAAACTTGTCTTCCAGAAAACCAGTCCCTGATGCCAGAAAGGTTGGGGACCACTGTTTTATTTTACTGTGCATATATGTATAATATATTATATATATTATAGTGAAATATTATGTATAGATTATTGAACATATTATATATATTATAGTAGCATATATATATGCTCAATAATGTATATATTATAATTAATTAAACAGTATATCAGCATACATAATCTCTAATTCCAACACCAATCAGATATCTTTCTTTTAAAATTTCTTAGGTAAATTCTCCATGTTCATTTTTCCACAGCTGAAAGTTAAAATTTTGTATTAAAAAAGGTGAGGAGTCAGGGGGCTGGGCAACGTGGCTCATGCCTGTAATCACAGCATTTTGGGAGGCCAAGCCAAGGGAACTGCTTAAGACCAGGAGTTTGAGACCAGCCTGGGCAACATAGCCTGACCCTATCTCTACAAAATTATTAAAAATTAGCCAGGCTTGGTGGTGAGTGCTTGTAGACCCACCTACTTGGGAGGCTGAGGTGAGAGGGTTGTTTGACACTAGGAGTTAGACATTACAGTGAACCATGATTGCACCACTGCACTCCAGCGTAGACAATAGCATGAAACCCTGTCTGTAAAAATAAATAAAATTTTGTAAAAATATGGATAGGTACAAAAGATATTATTTTTCCTTCTTCCACCTGCTTGCAGAAAATTTATCGCAGCATTAGCTCATTCATTCATTTGGTTCAAAATTTTTTTGTCCAATTATAAAAATATGACAAGCAAATTATTAATATATTGAAAAAATCTGTTTTAATTATTAAATGTACTAAGTATATGAAAAGACAATTTACCCAAAAATGCAAATGTCTAATAGCTTTGAAAAATATTCAGTCTCACTAATTTTCAAAGAAATTAAAATTAAAATTAGGGTGAAATAATTTTTCAAACATCAAATTAAGAAATGTTTTTAAATAAGAGAGAACCAGTGATTTTGAAAGAACAATAAAATGTGTATTTATGTACACTGCCACTGAGAATTAAAATTTGTTC